CCTGGAGCTCACTTGGTAGCCCAAGTTGGCCTCGAACTCACAGAGATCCGCCTGCCTCTGCCTCCCGAGTGCTGGGATTAAAGGCATGCGCCACCAACGCCCGGCTCTAAAGAGCATTTTCTTAAATAGTGATTGATGTGGAAGGGCCCAGTCCACTGTAGGTCAGACCACCCCAAGGCTGGCGGTCCTGGGTTCTGTAAGAAAGCAGAGGCAGGCGGATCTCTATGAGCTCAAGGCCAGCCTGGTCTCCAGAGTGAGTTCCAGAACAGCCAATGCTACACAGAGAAATCCTGTCTTAAAAAAAAAAGAAGAAGAAAAAAAAAAAAAGGTAGGCTGAACAAATCATGAGGAGCAAGCCAGCAAGCAATACCCTGCAATGGCCTCTGCAGCAGCTTCTGCCTCCAGGCTCCTGCCCTGTTTTGTTTTTTGAGTTCCTATGCTGATTTTGAGGATGAACTGTGAATGAAATAAACTCTTTCCTCCTAAAGTTGCTTTTGGTCATGGTATGTCATCATGGTATTTCAGCAATAGTAATCCTATCAAGGATACCCTTCCAACTTACAACAGAGAAACCAAAATCACAAATGTTCTATGATTACTTCATGCTATACCTCTCCCTATTCTGTAAATATGATACCATGTCAATTAACTATGCCATAATGAAAGCCTACAACTCCCAACTTTTTAGAGTGTTTGTCTGCTAATCAACAGGTACGATCTACAACTATTTATGCTGATACTAAAGGACTCAAACTAATAAAAATTACAAAGACTACAGTACTCCCGTATGAAAATCTAAAAAAATAATAAACGTTAAAAAATTTTTTACAAAACCATTAGTCATCCTGTTGGGAACATACTCTATACTAAAAACATATTCTATGCTAAAATCTACATAAAGCAACAAATTTTTCATCCTCCACACAACAGGAGTTGGGTCTTTTTATTACTGTTTCACAAGTGAAAACAGTAAGGATTTAGTTACATTATCTGGCAAGGGATTAAACAGTTAAGAGTTCTGCAGATAGATGGCAAACATTTTCATCTTATGTCAAAGCTTGTGTTCTAACTACCATATACACTATCTATATAACATTGGAACTAAAAAACTACCATGTGTTTCATACCCAGTATGTGAAAAGCCAGGTGAGGCACACACTTAAAATCTCAAGAGGTGCTAGGCGGTGGTAACGCACGCCTTTAATCTCAGCACTTGAGAGGCAGAGGCAGGTGGATCTCTGTGAGTTCAATGCCAGCCTGGTCTACAAAGTGAGTTCCAGGACAGGCTCCAAAAGCTACACAGAGAAACCCTGTCTTGGGAGGGGGGGGCGGCTCAAGAGGTTAAAGCAGGAAGATGAGAGCAAGTTCCAGGCCAGCCAAGGGCTACATAATGACATCTCACCTCAAAACAAAACAAACTTGAGAAGGGTATCATATTCAATTTTATTTTATAAGTAAGAAACTAAAAGACAGTGAAATACTTGCTTAAAATAATCCAGCTAAGGACCAGGTGTGGTGGCATATGCTTTTAATCTCAGCAATCAAAAGGCTAAGAATGGCAGATCTCTGTAAGTTTGAGGCCAGCCTGTCAAGTCCTAAGCCAGCCAGCACCGCAGAGTATGATTCTGTCTCCAAAAACAAAAAACAAAAAACAAAACAAAAAAAAAAAAAAAAAACTCAAAAAAACAAAACCAGTACGCTCATCTTTGGCTATGGACTATGGATAAAAGGCTAAAAGCTCAAAATGCAAAGAAAATAGATTTGTAAGACACAGGCCTTAATAGTCATTATGGCATCCTAAACCAAGGATATAAAGAGTGTATGTCACTTGGTTATTATCATCACTGCTTTTATATTAAAACTATGTAATGATATTCTAATGGACAATTTCTGAGCTGGAGCCTAGAGATCACATGGTTCTGAAAACCTGCTTTGTGATCTTTGTTGGAGCTAGAAACTAGTAACTACAAATCATCATCATCATCATCATCATCATCATCATCATCATCATCATCTTCATCTTGACCACGATTACGGCTAATCCAGAGTCTTTTTATGATGCCAATGAACAACTCCTTGAAGCACAGAGCTTTATTTTGAACAAGACTGCTAGGAACTCCAGAGGCAACTTGAAGGCACTGTTAAAGGTATGGCAAAAAATTACTTGTGCTCTCTAGTAATCATTACATGTAAATGGCCACTATCAACCTATAAAATTCTTAAAATGATAATTAAGGATTTGCTGCATTATACCAAAAGAAAAAAAGACTAAACCAAAAAAGATCAGAACATATTATGTACATATTTTTCAGGTTTAAAAGACTCACAGATCCAGACATCTACTAAGAGATCTTTAAATCACTGCTTTTAGCTTCACTCCCTTATTATTCTCTCAGAGATCCTTATCAGGTTGGACCCTAATGTGTTGCTCTGCCAAACGCTCATATACTTTGTCCTCTCTTCCTCCTGACAACGTTCAACTGACTGTTTACCATTGGTCCATCACTCTCTCCAAAGACAGAGAGAACAATCATCTCAAAGCTACCTCTATGTCAATTCAAATACCATGTATTATCTTCCCCATCTGGGTAGGGGCTATCAACAATTCACTTTTTATATTCCTTATGTGTTTCTGGAGCTAGTAAGTAAGTACTTACTAGTAAGTAAGCTGAATGTTTCCACTGTTTCAACAAAATAAAAACGTTTATGATGATCACATTATATTAAGCTAATTATTTTTCACTCAAACCACATCACAGCACTAAACTGAGAAAATACTCACTGTCATTTTGGTTCGGGACGTCTGACAGCCCTGATCTAAAAAACATAAACATTTAAAATAAGACAAATACACTTTCTGGACGTTTTCTAAATCTCTGTTTATCATTGAATTTTACCAATTTTGAAAAACAATTTTAAAAAAGAATCCCAAATTTAAAGATAACATAAAAATATGGAGGTAAATGAGTAGTTAACTGATTTTCCCCTTTCCCCCTCTGTATACACAAGAGTGCTTTGGGGGAAACATTATATTCTAAGAATTACTGCTGAAATAAAATAAAAAGCCACAACTTCTAAAGTTTTGTTGTTCCTTCCAGGCCACAACTAGTACATAATCTGCTAAGAATGCTTCTTATTTGAAGTTAGATATCACGGGATAGATTATTTTTAAAACTATTCTTTTAACTGCTTAATTTCTCTCTAATTTAGTTCAGTGATGGCCAGTATTTTTCAGCAAATAGGTTTTGAAAGGGGAATAAAATAAGCAATGTATCTATAAAACATCATCATACTGGGGGCTTGGACCTAGAGAAAGTACGAGGTTTATTTCAATTGACTTTTTCACCCATACATAAATCACGAGAGACCTGACCTTTTTCTGGAAAGGCTTACTAGAGTTATATATGACCTATTGTCCTCCTCTATCATTGAGCCATACCCGATTCTAAACAGCTATCTTCAAATCAACTGTACATTATCAATGTTTGGGATTCAGAACTAGGAAGATAAAGAATGTAAAGAGATTAAGTGGCCACATTACATACCATAATGGAGGTTTTCAGGTCCTTTTTGGGTCGTCATGTTGGGCTCATTTTGCTGACAGTAGAAACGTAGTAAGCAGTGTTGGTCACAGAAATGTTTCATCTCCCCACGCCACTGAACTCGCTCTTTAAGAGTGCCTTGAGATTTACAGCAATCACACCTTGCAGCCTTAATAAGAAAGGAAAGTGCTCAGACATTTCAAATGAGATTTAACATATCATACACATTAGCTGACAAAAGTGATGAGAAAATACTGAAATGTTATCTAAGAAGAAATATTTTAAGTCACACACGAAGACTGAATAAATGTGTAATACAGATTGACAAACTCCAATCCCATATTACCAAAGTCAAAAAGAAACAACAATGGCTGGAGAGATGGCTAGTAGTTTTCTGTATCTGCTGTCCAATTGTTAGGACTGGAGTTCTGATTCTAGCACCTGTAAAACCAACTGAGCATACTATAAACACCCATAAATCTACCTGAGGGATCTCATGCCCCTTATGGTATCCATGTGCAGGCATGTGCACCTATTTACACACACATGAATCATTTAAAAAGTAATTAAATCAACATTAGACAAAATTGATAGAATTTACTAGAAAATAATTTTGAAACTGAGCACGATGGTGTATACTTATTACTCCAACAGTCAGCAAGAAAAGGCAGGAAGCTGGCAAGTTTGAATCCACCTTGGGCTACACAGCAAATGTAGGCTACAAAGTAAGATCCTGACTCAAATAAAAATAAACAAAACAGCCAGGCGGTGGTGGCACACACCTTTAATCCCAGCACTCGGGAGACAGAGGCAGGTGGAGAGTTCGAGGCCAGCCAGTTCTACAGAGCAAGATCCAGGACAGGCACCAAATCTACACAGAGAAACCCTGTCTCGAAAAACCAATGAATGAATGAATGAATGATTAAATGACTAAATAATTGAATAATTAATTAAATGAATAAACAAAACAAAAAACTTACACCAAATAGCATTAGTACAAGATAATTTTTGAGGGCCATAACCTTAACAAGTAGAAGTCTCTAGCAATCATATTATGTTGAACAGTTCCTACAATAAGCAGATTTCCATGCTTAAGTATAGAAGACTGAACTGTTTTAATTAAAGGAAGAAAATAAGTCCATTGAGTACACTGCAGGACCACACACTGGGCAATAACAGGAACTTCCTGTAGGAAGACCAAAGTAACTCTGAAGCAAGGTCTTATGATGGAAAACTCAGAAATAATAGCTTCAATTATTTTAGTTTTCTGACAGTTTAATATAAAATTTAAAAAGTTAATTTTCTGACAAGAACTTGAGACTGCGTTTTAAAAGAGCCAATGCTTACTTAAAAGAAAGGAAAAAAAATTTTTGCTGGGCAATGGTGGCACACACCTTTAACCCCAGCACTTGGGAGGTAGAGCCAGGCAACTCTCTGTGAGTTCAAGGCCAGCCTGGTCTACAAAGTGAGTTCGAGACCAGGCTCCAAAGCTACACAGAGAAACCCTGTCTCAAACAAAAATAATAATAATCAATTAAAACTTAAAAATAAATAAATAATTTATCAGAATATCCAATTAGAAACCAGGTGGTGGTGGCACATGCCTTTAATTTCTGCAGGTACAGATGGATATCTGAGTTTGAGGCCAGCCTAGTCTACAGAAGTTCCATGACAGCCAGAGCTACACAGAAAAATCCTGTCTCAGGGAAAGAAAAAAAAACCAAAATAAATAAATAAATAAAATCCAATCAGATCTATAGCTAGGAAAGATCAACAGATCCACAACTAGATCAAAGCAATACAAAGCTTCATATTAAAAGCAAAAAAAAAAAAAAAAAAAACCCACCACCCTAAAATTCATACAATTACCCTTTAAAGCAGTAGCTCAATACAGGGCAGATTTCCACTTTGAAGAGATACTATTTCACCTAAATCTTGCCCATCTTTTAAAGACATTTTGATCAGTAAGTGAAACAAATGATGTAATTAATTCCATATAGAATAAGAAAGTTTCTAAACTAAAAATAAATTACTATAATTTTAAAAAACTGTCAGCTTAACAGCTTAGAAATTCTGATAATACTAATAAGTACTACTTTACAGTTCATAATAATTGTAGCTGTGGCTTTTTCATTACTTTAATACAAGGTTTTATATTGTAGATGTGATTATATCTCAACGCAGATCTCAAATGAACTTCTATTAATAAATACTTTAAGGGTGTATCTCAGAAGAAGAGCATATTTTAGCTTAAGAGGGGAGAAAAAAGCAAGCTCCTAGTTGAGAGATACTAATAAAGGATCATATTGGTACACAGGTCTTAAAGAACTAACAAAGATGAAACATAACACACTGTCTCTTTTTCTCCACTTCAGCTCTCTTGCTGAATAAACATTAAACAAATGAAGCTTTGTGGTATATTATCATAAGCAATAACTGATGCTAATAAGCCTTGTCTAAAAACTTATGAATCAAATTGTATACTGATAGTATCATGTAGTAATCTCAATCACAGGAGCATGTAGTGTTTAACCTAGGTCGTTATGATGGTTAATCTCAGTTGTCAACTGTATTTCAAGTGGGAAGACAGCACCCTAGATAAAAAGAAAGCAAAGAAAGATGCTTTTCTTCTGTCCATTTGCCTTGGCTCTCACTAGCATGTTCATCTACCTACTGCTGCTAATACTCTTTTGGTGACATCAAAACCTAGATTTTAGGGGCTTCCAACAAGGACTCCCAGCAGCTCTGAGAGTACCGGCCTTGAATACCAAATCACAACTGCTAAAGCACCCAACCTCAAGGCCTGAACTGTTACCAGGCCTCTCCCGTGAGAGACAGCCACTGTTGGTAATAAAGAATCCCCTTTTAATATACACATTCTATTAGGTCTGTTCCTATAGAGAATTCTTAATACAGTTATACTTGACTCAATAATGGAAAAGTTCCTATATACAACTCTTACCAACTAAAGACTACTTAAAACCAAAGTGTTTCAGGTTCTTCTTGTTTCTGTCCATTTACAATCAAATCATAAGGAAAGAAATAAGCTTATCAACACTTACAAATGAGTCAGAGCACAAGAAAAAAGCAAGTAAAGCTGCAGCCTGACTACCCCCTTACTGAGAACCTGAGATAAAAGCCTAATACTGACCTGCTACCTCAGTTCTTACAACAGCTCTGCAAAATGAACGCTGAAAATCAACACTCAAAAATTAAAGATCCGACTAACATCAAATATTAAAAATGAAGCTACAGGATTCCAGCAGAAAAGCCAAGTCAAAACCTGTACTTTATCATGACCTCATGATAGATTGGCAAAGGAAATACAAAATGAGTTGCTATAAATATAAATAACTAGATAAAAGCAAAACACACAAAAGGGGTTCTCAATTTAACATCTAAGCCAAAATTCAGTTTGTGTAAAATTTATCAAATTACCATAGCATAGTACTCTATTGGCTTTCTGAAAAGGTAGGTATCAGGATGCTCAACCTTGCCTCAAAAACCCAATCAGGGACTAAAGAGATGGCTCAGTGGTAAAGAACACTGACTGTTCTTCCAGAGGTCAGGAGTTCAATTCCCAGCACCTACATGGCAGCTAACAGCTGTCTGTAACTACAAGATCTGACACCCTCACACAAACATGAGTACAGGCAGAACACCAATGCACATAAAATAAAAATAAATAAATTATTTTTTTAAAAAACCCAATCAATCATCTTGCTTCCACATCCCAAGTGCTGGAATTACAGGCATATGCCACCATACCCAACAATATTTTTATTTAAACTAGTAATTCAAATGAACATAACTAAGTATATCCTATCCCAAAAAAATCTAAATAATAAAGTTAAGTCTTCATTCTAAAATCATATATATTTAGTTTTCCTACACCCAGTTCCTTTCTTCCAAAAAATTGAAAACAGTTTGTCCAAAGAAAACCAGGGCAGGATTAACATCAATTACACATTTAAAAAAAAAAAAAATCTAGCCAGGCGGTGGTGGCGCACGCCTTTAATCCCAGCACTCGGGGAGGCAGAACCAGGTGGATCTCTGTGAGTTCCAGGCCAGCCTGGGCTACCAAATGAGTTCCAGGAAAAGGCGCAAAGCTACACAGAGAAACCCTGTCTCGAAGAAGAAAAAAAAATCTACTTTTTTTCCAACTAAAAGGGTGGGAACTTAAAACTAACAATTCTAAGCTTAATGCCATAAACAAAACTGTGAAGGCTGAAAACTTCTGTTTATTTAATATATTTAAGATTTTTAGTGGCAGGTATGTCTATGAACCATGTGCATGCCTGGTGTCCATGAAAGTCAGAAGAGAGACCCCTAGAACTGGAGTTACAGATGGTTGTGAGCCTTAACATGGGTGCTAAGAACTGAACCTGGGTTCTCTGCAAAAAAAAAAAGTAGTGCTCTTAACCACTGAGCCATCTTTCCAACCCATAAAGACAGGGTCTTCTTGTGTAAGCACAGGCTGGCATCTAACTGCCCATCCAGATGGCTCTGACAGCTTAAATTACAGATATGTGCCCCTACACCTACATAAAACAAATTTTATTTAATTTTTTTGTTGTCTATCAACTTTTCTCTATTCTAACTCAAATGAGTTTGCAGATAATCTACTGTAAAGATCAGAAAATTCAGATTATTCACAATGTCTTAAGAAAAAGCCTATGTAGTAGTTGACTGAGAATGCCCACAATAGGTTTCCACATCAGAATGCTTGATCCCGAGTTGGTAGCAGAGCCGTACGTGGCCTTGCTTGAAGAAGTCAGTCAGTGTGGATAGGCTTTCAAGAGGTAAACCTCTCCGGCCACTTCTAGTTAGCTCTCTGCTATGTGCTTACAGTTCACAATGTGCGTTCGCAGCATCATCCTCCAGCCACCACGACAACCTGGTGCTTCTACCCAGACATTATGCACTCTAACCCTCTGGAACCATACACCAAAGTACTTTTCTTCAGGTCACCTTGGCCATGGTGTTTTTAATCACAATAACAGAAATGTAATTAATACAGCAAACCAGTAGAAAAATTTAAAAGCATAATATTAAATGTTTCAATTAAATTTATCTTGTGGTACCTAGCATCAAACTCAGAGCCTTTCACTTACTAAAATAAGCACTGAACTATACTGCTAATCTCATTACTAAATTTAAATACTAAAA